GTTTATGTTATGCAGGCCCATGTTTATGTTGTGCAGCCCTGTATTAATGTCATGCATTCATGTAATATTTAATACCGTGAATGTGTCATTTCAAAAGCCGTGCCAAGTTTCTATATATTGAGTACCGATTAGTGTAATTCAATTTTCCACTAGGTGGTATGTTATGTCAGCAATCGCAGGTGAAGATTGTGATCCCATGCTAACTCCGCATGTTTGGGTATAGTATTCATTATTAAACATGATTTCGACTAGTTTAAGTCTATATCCCAAATATAGTGATTTCAGAATGCTATCACCGTGATTGTAATTCGATTGTTTTCCATTGGCGGTAGCTTGTATCGCTTATTCAATTACAGTTTAATATACAAAGATAGGACTACCATGGTTACTAGAACGTTATTTTAAAATACTTGTATTGTTTTGATTTTGTTAATAAAATCGGTAGTATCTTTGATGTACGCTTGGGAATAAACAATGGTCAATCAGTTCTGCTAGAGCAACCACTGATTATTGGTCTACCGACGATTATACTGCCCGTTGGTGGTGGTTTGTGTACTTTAGGCAGTAAATACCACCCGGGCGTTCTAACGTTGTAGTTAAATTGGTCTGTATTCACAATTTGTTATACGTGTCGTAATCGATTAATTTCAGGTTATAAATTAACAAGCTCATCGACTGAATTAGTTGTAACTATAGTATCATTACCATTGATTCAGTATAGTATCATTATCTGTTTATTATGTTTGATTAATACTGCAAGAATAAAACAAACACGTTTCCGATGACCAGGACGAAATACATGTATACATGTATTTTTTTTCTAAACGTTCTCTCTATAATTTTTATATCCACAATCAATGGTTTAAAATTGTTAGTCCTGTCTGGGTGATAATATGGATTGACTAAGACACTACTCGTGTATAGAACCCTGCTCGCAGAGTGCTCTTTTCGAGGACTCCAAACCTAGAATTTCACACGTTACTGTTTGTAAATCAGGAAAAATCAAGTCAGACAGTCATATCAATGTTACCTCAATTGTGTTAAATAAATTGAAATACACTCGAAAAAATGCGATGCTCGTTTGACTAGTTAAAGGCGCATGTTTCCATGTCATTTATGCTAAGAAAACGTACTTTCTGGACTTGAAAATGACCACCTTAGTATATTTTTGTCTGGATCTGATATATTCATATGGTATGCATATTTCCGAACAATTTGCCGTCATCATTATGCAAAACAAAACTCGTTTGTGCCAAAAATGTTCTTTCTGACCCTTATATTCGTATAAGACCTACATTTGTGAAGTCGAAACGAAATGTGAAAAACGGAACTTGTTTGACTGATTAAGGGGAAATGGAAAACAGTATGTCGTATTTTTTCACAATAGGATATGTCTTATGACATTGGAGCTAAAGTGTTTCTCCTGCCCCCCCCAAAATAAACAGATCGGTAAAATGAAGCCCGTCATAGTTTCCAACTTTAAAGTGTTAGCCGAGTGTATATGCAAAACTAGCTTGAAACCGAACGTAAAAATCCCAGTGAACGTCGGTTGAGCAAGTCGCTGAGGTTAGATCACAATAGAGAGCGCATTTCGCCGCAAAACGCTCCGTAATAGAACGTGCTGTAGTAGAACAATAGAGCCAACTCTATTTGGAAAAGAGCAGTACCATGCAGCAAACACAAATACATCACTCGTTAATAGAACCAACATCAGCTTTTGCGCAAGATTCAAAAGACTTGAGACCTACCACCATATCACCCTATAAACAAGTTACATCATTCACTCAGCGCCACATCAAACATATTACAGGTAACAGTGTATATAAGAAACATGTTGGTCAATTTTCCCATTGTTTGTCCAACAAAATAATTGTAATTGTCTGTACATCTTTCTTGAGAAGAAATGCGTATTATTTGAAACTAATAAACATTGCTGCTGCTTTTGTTCTCTGCCAATTAATTTATTTTAGCTTAATTTAGTATATCACGGTGTTATAGTTTGCGCAAATATTCGATATTTGATAAAATATGTCATTATGTTTACAACTATTATTAGCTTAACCTTACCGTATAGATTAATTTGACCCGATTCTTGTGTCAATTTAATATCACTGGCACAGGAATTATACTGCCACACATTTACCTGTTGAAAATCTATAGCATAGCAAAATTTCAGACAATGACTATATTCTTACTGTGTCGTTCTTCAGAAGAAACTATACATACATCTCTGTTTGCATTCATACAGGGTGATTGCGACTATTTCGCTTATCAACGACCCCTCTTTGATGGAAAAAAAAAATAGTAGCTGCGCTATGAACGACGGTGAACACGATGCGTATCGCTGCCTGGCTATCCCCGTTAGAAGACGCAATGATGAAAATGTCTGCTAAACTGAGTGGTCCCAGTCTCTGCAACATTCAGCCTCTCCGCGAAATATAAAACAAGTATATCATAGTTTTTACTATAGTCGATTTGTACATATGTATCTTATAGGGTTCATAGGCGATATTCTGTACATACAATTTCTGTTTATTTCTTGATGGATTTCTTGGTAATTTATTTGGTTGTTAAAGTTATGTTCAAATGTCAGTACATGTGATTAGTATGTAGAATGCATAATTAGATACGTTGCAAATGACCATCTATTGCATTGTATTATCTACTGAGACTGATATGCACCAAGGAAAACAGTTATGTGACTAGCTGACTCGGATTTGTTATACCATGTTAACAGCATCACACTCAGACCTTCACTTACTATAAGGAAAATGAGTAAATTACATCTTTATTTATTTCTGGTATTTGAAACACTTTTTTTTGTAATTCAAATCTAAACGTTGTATTTAATAAT